AGGGAGGAGGGGCAGCAGAGGCGCGTGGGAGGGGCGACAAGGACAAGGACGAGACGTTGGGCCGGTTTTGTGTTTTGGCCGTTTTCGTACTTGACCGCCGCGCTTGCCGGGGCGAGGCTAGCGTGTCCTATGGCCCAATGGCTGTGCTGCTATGCGGACAAATTTCCCAAAATTTCTCGAAATTCACAGGGAATTCTCAAAATTTAAACATAGTTTGTGAAATTGAACTTGAAAGTCGCGACAGAAAAAGTATATTTTGTCTTCGGGGGTACGCGTTTAGCCGTCTCGCCAGGCCAACAGGAGAGGGCCAGCAGGACAGAGGAGGTGGTGCTGGTTTGTACTTTACCCGGTGACGTTGAGAGAGGTTGGCGCCTACCCTCGCGCCCGCGGCCGCCAGATTACGTAGACACAAACAAGGCGACTGATCCAGGGGGCTTTGGGGGCGTTGAGGCGGTGCGGGGGCGGAGGAGGCGGCGGTTGTAGGGTGCCCTCCTTGAGTCGGGGCAGTTTCCACTCTACCTGTGCGACGGTAGTCTTGTATCGCAGGAAAGTCCCGCTCGAGGAGAAACAAAGAGATCGTGCCCAGTCGCACCCGCTGCTGCTCCCGCATCCATGGGATGAGTTGTGTCTCTTTTACCGCCGTTACAGGCTACAGGCGCGTGGGAACGAATGCAACCACATGCGGACAAAAGGCCCACATAGTACACACACACTCACATCAAACTCGGTCTGCAGCACGCATTTCCGGTTCCGCTCACACGAGCGTGTTCCACCGAGCGGTGCACGGCGCGGTGCGTCCCCGTCGGAGCGTGGCGGCGGCGGCGGGGGCAACGCCCAGCGGCTTTGGCGGGGCTGGCCTGCCAGACAGGGGCGGGGATCGACGTACCGAGACAGACGGTCCTAACGCCTTTGCTCTCCGTTCTGTTGCAGGGCCCACGCACACCGGGCTGGACACGTGGTCCGTGGTCTGGTACTGCGGGATGTTCGCCGCCTTCACGTCGCTGTTCCTCATCATGCCGTGCTCCCAGGTGCTGTGCCGCGCCGGCCTGCTGCACGGCCACAGCGACCCCCGCCTGCGGCCGCGCGCGCCCCTCGGCGCTTTCCAGGCCGCGGCGCAGGGCTACGCCACGCCGCCGCCGCCCTACAAGCAGTTCGCGCCGCCCTCGTACGAGGACGTCATCCTGGACCTCGGCTGGGCGACGCCGGGCAAGGCGGTCGCCGTGTCGCCGCTCGCCCTCCCGCCCGCGCTGCTCCCGCCCATGCAGCGGCTGCCCGAGAAGGAGAAGGAGGGCATGGAGGCCGGGCTCGACGTGTACGTGATCCCGCTGCGGTCCGAGCCCTCCTCGCCGTCCACGCAGGCGGCCGCGTGAACCAGCGACGCAGCTGGAGGGGGCACCCCCTCCCGGGGCTCAAGACCTAGAGGAGTTGTGTTCAGTGAGCTGCAAACTCAAGAGTTGGCCGAGGTCACCTCGGCGCAGCTGGCGTTGAAAAAGGAGCACGGAGGACCGCCGCCTTAGAGAGGAGGCGTTGCGGGAGAGGTCATTGCTGCAGCAGCCCTTCAGGAGAGCCCGCGGCCAGTGACCTCCACCTTCTGTTGTAGTCGAGAAGGAAAGGATAAACCGACATTCATGCCAAGAGGAGTCTACCCGTGTGGGCTCGCGCGGGTGCTGTCCTGGGGTGTGGGTGGCGTGGCACTCGTCATGGGCGCCCACTTACAACCCTCCCGACACAATTTTACGGAGAGCAAAATGAGTCTGTGGAAGGGGTAGTGATAGTTTAATTACAATGGGTCTAGTCATAGAAAGCGGTGGTTCAGGTGTTTTGTGCGGACCTCAGTGTAAATAACCTTGCGCTGACGAAAAGAAATGATCTGGGCGGCAATTTTAAACTGACGAATCGTTGTCGCATCCGGACAATGTGTACACGTATTCCTCTTTAAAATTCCATTGTTTGTACTCGTAATGCAAATCGACTCTCGATCGGAATAACGTAAAATTACCTTCATAAGACTGACCTGATATTTTTGTATTTTAGCCTGGGTATAGTAAATTAATTTATCTTAGCTTTGAATGTGTCGAATTGTTGTAAGCCAAGTTAACGTCGAGGTGGACTGGAGAATTGGGATATGTACTGGTGAGAAGTGCTCCAGCCAATTGGAATCAATGGCTTTGGAACTCAGATCCACACATACAGTCCCAACTTTGCTCGTCAAGAAGTATCTTTCCACTCAAGAGTATTTGTACTAATTTGTCGTCTCTAACTCAGCATTGTTGGTTTTAAGATTAGATATAGAGTGTCTTGTACCTGCCATATTTTTTAAGAAACTTTCGTGTTTATGTGTAAGTTGCATTTTCTGTGCCATTTCTCTGGTGCGTATTTTTGTAAATACTTCATAATTTAGCCAAAGATTCTTCCCATCGCGGTACTAATGCGCCGGATGGGAAAGCTCACCCTCAATTTTTTTCACACACCAAAGTGTAAAAAATAGCATTAAAATAGTGATCAAATTGCAGACAAAACGACTATTCATTCACCACTCCACCGCTTCACGCGCAAGCGCAGTGTCGAGCAGTGCCTTTTTGAACCCTGTTGCGAACGAGGCTGAAGAGAGACGGGCGGGGCCCCAAACTCGAGGCTCGAAAATGCCGCTGCAAACAAGACTCGAGCGAGCGAGGGGCCACAGCCGGCCGATACTGGTTACACGGGCCGGTTACATTTGAAACACTCCTCAAAGCCCTGTATAGCGCCGCCGCCGCACCAGGCCAGGACGCTCCAATCTCACTGACATTGGCCTTGTGAGGCGTGAGGCCCCGGGCCGCCGCCGGCCCGCGGCCAGCGCGGCACTGGGCCACGGGCCACGAGGCCGCGGGCCATGAGGCTCCATGAGCGGGACGGGTGGTTCAATTGCCACTCAACCCGTGAGGACATAAAGTCCTGTTTGACGTCAGCGCGCGCCCAGCGAGAGGGGCGTGAGGGGATTAAGGGCCAATAACAGAGGTTTCCCCGCAGTGATTTTGTTTACACAGTGTCACCGATACTACTTGCACTACACGAGGTTCGCCCTACGGTGGTGTGGTGCATAGGAGTGAGAGCGTCGCGGGGGTTCCGGCGGTCGGTGGTAGTTCAGTTCAGTTCCCCTGACCCATTTCAAGAGCCATCGGCTGGGCGCGCTGCGCTGGGCACGGCTGGGACCCCATCCCATCGCGGGCTAATCGTTCACTCGGCGGGGCGGGGCGGGGCTGGGCCGGGCGAGGAGGCAAGGGCACGCCGAGGAGGGGCCCCGCCTGCCGAGCACGCCTCCGCCGTAACTGCCTGCCTATACCTCTGGGGCCCGCCAAGCCAGTGGCGGCCGGTGTACTACCTCAACCCGCTCTTACCGCCGCCGCCACGCCGCGCCACGCCGCACTACGCTCCGCCACTATAATTGTCGAGTATCGAGTCTCAAGGTAGACGGACAGACAGACAGCCCGATGTCCAGCAGCGAACGCCAGTCTCTGGCGGGGCCGCCGTTGCCAGGTACGCGATTTACTCTCTACTGGATGGAACCTTCGCGCCAAACCCAGTGCGGAGGAGATGGAGAAGGGGGAGGGGTTAAGGGGGGAAAGAGGCTGGGCGACGCGCACCTGACTGTAGACCGCCCACACGACACGTGTGCCACCTAGTTTGCCTACCTCACAACCCGCAGGGGCCCAGACCCTGCCCAGTCCTTAGTTAGTCTGCGTTCCTCGTCGCGGTCAGCCCATCCGCCGCAGTTGACTGTACATAGGCCTGCAAACAGAAAGAATGGCAGTTGTTGCCATATATTGCTGAAAGGAGAGCCCGTGTGGATTGTTTTGGTGGTATCAACAATAACTTATTTACAAAGCGAGGAAAGGAGACCGGTCACAGAGGTAAGCGCGTAATGTTGGTAAGTAAACAGTATGGTCCTATGAAAGAAAATAAGAAAATAAGCAGCAATGTATTGCTCCAGTTTATATATGCTAATCTGAATGTGGCAGACAAAGAAAAACAATTTCCACTGCCTGAAATAACAAAACGTTCAAACATCCTTACAATTATTCAATCATCACTTTTCCATAAGGCAATTCACAGCCAATTATGTCATGGACGACACTATAGCCCCTCCAAACATAATAAAGATGTCTTAGATATGATCAAAAATAAAATGCTTAACAAAACTTAATAAAAAAGAAAGCTTATTCTGCCCTTTTTAGCAGAAATACAACATTTGAGAAAAGATCTTTGACCAGATTCCAAAGATTCCAAAGATTAAATAGACTGTAAGTAAAAACAAAGGTATTTTGTAATGTAGAATGATATGTTATTTTTGAAAAAATAAATTATGAGTTCTAGCTAGGTGTTAAAAGAGTTTCCTTTCTTTACATCACACCCTGAAATGAGATCTTCAAAGTACATAATTGCAAGCTTGGTAAACAAAATGTAAAGTAAAATATATAATCTAAATCAGTCAAAGAAGATAAATGCTTTGGGTAACGAGCAAAACTTGAACTCAAAAAGCTCTCGCCAACCACACCTAGTCTAACAAAATACTTGACTAGTCTTATATGTACAGATGGTTATGAAATATATTACATATTGATGGAAATAATGTCATACACCTAAATGATAATATGTTTAAAAGACAAAAACCCTGTCTATAAACAGTATATTATAGCTCATCATGATCTTCATTTTTATGGTTTGGAGATAATGAAAGATCATCAATTTCAAACCATTCTTGATAAACTTTTACAGGATCTACCATCCAGTGTTTGTGAAAAGAGACTGGTTTCTGAGATAATAAGTAATTTTTGGCATAGTCTGATGGTCTTGCCTGAAAAGATTAAAATACAAAAACACAGTTATATGATATAGAACTGAATTGGGATTGGATTAGAAAGTATCATTAATATAAGCAGTCTAACCTGATGAAAATGTGGGGAATGTATTATAGGGATATCCAAATTTGCAAGACAAATGCCTAGGTACATATCATCCGGAGTCGAGTCAGATGGGCAAGTACAACTGCCACGTTTGGCCAACTCTTGCACGAGTGGCATGCTAAGAACAATACCTCCACCACCAGTAATATAGTTGTAGCCCCCTATTTCTCTGGGTAGAACAACACTATATCCATATCTTTCACCCAAGGCAACCTTCAAGGAAGGATCATAGCAGGAGAGAAATTGGCGTAATCGGGAGACACTGAAAAATTAAATTTAAAATATTTGTAAGACCAAAGACCACAGTTAAAAATCGAATAAGAAGCAAACCTCAAATTAACGACTTGAAAATTTATGAGCAGTCTAATAGGCAGTAATACCTCAAAATTGTATCATCATCAGCAATGACCAACCATTTAATGGTTGGATCAATAATGTATTGGGTTGCAGCATAACCCAACACAGCCAATGTTTTTCCACAGTGACCACGCTCTGTATTTGGGACTCCAAGGCTGATTGTGCCCAACTTCAAATCTGAAATTTTATTAGAATAGGGTTATTAACTTTGCATTAGGTCTATCAAAAATTTTTACGATTTTTCACAAAGAACTTTTACAACAAACCTTCTACATCACTGAAAAAATTAATTCGAGATGCATATTTGCCCCAAGTTGATTTTACAATGGGTAACCTCTCATCATGGAATTTCGAACATGTTTTCACAGCAAGATATATATCTTTAGTTTGAACTGGATTGCCCTAAAAAAAATCAGAAAATGTATTTAACAATTATTTATAGTATTAGAGCACAACTTCTCTATTACACACTTACACAAGGTGAAAAAATTCTTGGTTTTGTAGCACAATGGGGGCCAGGTTTGGCACATATTGCATCTAAGTGAGTTAGCTCTGGGCCTTTTCCTTCCTGCCAAATGTAAAGAGCTAGTTCATATGCTGCATCAATAGAAAAGTCAGGGTTTCGGGGAAAATCACCTTCCCTCAACCGATGAGCCAATCTGTGAGATGAAATAGATAGATTTTAGACCAAATGATTTAACTATATCAAAGATGTAATAATATTTACAACAGGCTTACTTTCTTATCAATGTCTTAGTCATGACAACTCCTGATGCAAGATTGGGGTACTTAAAGATACTAGGATTCTTTGGAAATGCAAAATGATGGATAATTGTGGGCTCACGATCTCTTAGAGCATGACCATACCATTTTTCCTGAGTAATGAGAAAAGTGGCAAGTAATTTAAGACTCTCACTTTTAAAAAACACACCCTGATTATTAATAAATAATTTAGACTAAAATATGTTAGCAAAGGCAGATAAAGAGGGTAACAAGAGAAGTTACCTGCTTTGGAACAAACTTTTGAAGTATTTTCACCAGCTTTTGTAGATCAACATGAGTAGAACTCTGGCAGAATAGCACATATGAACTGTTTCTACCATATAAGGCATCTAATCTGTAAAATAAAGATGGCCAACATATTTACAGGGGACGACGGTTTATAAACAAGGTTTATCAATGGATAATTCTTACTGTGGTAAAATTGGAACTATTGTCCATGCACCCGGATGAGTGAAATCGGTGTGGGCAAAGTGGACAGGAGGTGGTGCCTGGTTAGAAAAGGAAGATAAGGTTGTAGATAAATTCTTCTATGCATTACAGTTTAAGATATGTCTATAAAATACCTGGTTGTGAGATTCTGCTTGTTTGTGTATATCTTCTCGGAGACTCTCTGCAAGTGATGTGTCATGAGAATCTGGTTGACTCATAACAACGACTACAATATCTCGGAAATCTGAACAGAAAACAAAATTGTTACAAAAACTTACAATCTTGAGAGAGCTGTTCCTCGTTCAAAAAGACAACATAAGACATAAGCTGGGGAAGTTTATGCAGGAGAGTTAGATAGATATAACTATACGTCTCCTGGTTTATGCCTGACAGTATCAATGGAGCATTCATTCATGGTTTTTATTTAACACTTACTAAGCATTTGGCCATGACTGAGAGAAGTACAGCAGCATAAGAGAAGTAAGTAAACTATCGGAAGCATAATGGCTGGTTTCTTGAAAAATTCAATTCTGAAATAACATACACGATTAAAAGTCAGAAAAAGAAAGACACCTGTCGAATCACCAGACGATAGCATCGCGGTTAGAAACTACTGCTCAAAAAATTCACATCATCAATAATAGCAACTAACCTTGTCGGAAAGAACTTCTTTTAAATGATGACTGACACAATATGTTGATTGTTGATTCAAATCCCGTCAATGTGGTCAGAAATTCTAAAATGCGAGGAAATATCCATGTTTTCGCCGCTACGGAATCTGTTTATGATCTATCATAAAAGTCGTCTGCAGTGCTTGAAGTGTGAACAGTTCACAGTTTCTCTATATGCACCACAGACGTGACGTCACTTAGTAACCGTTTCTGTTTGTTTTGTTTGTAGACAGGTTGATCCACTGACTTTGCCGTTATATTGTCTGTTAAAGATTGTTGAAACTTTCGTAATCGATTCTATATTTTGGTCTGGTCTAGTGATAGTTTAAGTAGCTTTCCTGTGCCTAACACATTTTTTATATCAAGAAAAGTTACTGTTGTAGTCCTCTGCCTTTAGAGGTTATGATTGTTTTCTTGAGTTTGTTGTGATATTAATAGTAATAAAAAGGTTAAAGAATTGTTCATCAACTCCCGTTAAAATTAATTTTATCTTCCAGTTGATACATATTTTACATTCTCTTTGCATTGTTTCATTCAGGATTTGAAGATGTTGGGGGATAGGAACTTTTCTATGGAGAAGCTAGACACAGAGAATTTAGACCATCAACAAGGAGGCTCACAGCATTCATTTAAAATCCGCCCTGACCTTGATGAAAAGTATGTTTCATTGTTAATTTTTTATCATCTTTTAAAAATTTACTGCTGCTTATGTTACAATTAAATATGTATCTATTTAGATTTCGTCCTCAGGCTGCCAAAGAAGCAATCCAAAGTTTATTGACTGAACAATTGAGTGGCAAAGTTTATGCCAATGAAAATGTAGATGATTTAACAAAATCAGTAGCAAAACTTGCTCTTGAAAGAGTCAAAGGTAATTATACACACAACATTATGCATCTTGATTTTCTCTCATCCAAAAATATTATCTTAAACCAAAAATCTTACAGCAATGGAATTTCAACGCTACAAGCTGCTGGTCCAGGTTGTACTTGGTGAACAGCGAGGAGCTGGAGTTAGGATGGGTGCAAGATGCATGTGGGATGCAGAGGCAGATAGTTATGCGAGTGCAGAATACGCAAATGTAAGCTCATCATGACTGTTTCCTTATGGTGTTTTGAAAACCGCAAAGCCTCAGTTTTTAATGCCTATACTTTCTTTTGTTTCCAGGATTCATTGTTTTGTGTTGTGACTGTCTTTGCTGTGTTTGTTTATTAGCCTAATCTTACTTCAATACAAGTTTCTCCAATTAAATTTTCTAGTTCCTTACAATTTTATTGTCTGTGATAGGTTCTGTACTTCTGCCTTGCTTTGGTGGACTAAAAAGATTGTGCATCTGAGCAATAGGATGTTGTAACCTTTGAGAGACTTATTATATATTTTAAAAGTACTTACAATGACTTTTTAGCAACTTAATAATTATGAATCTAAGACACAAGTAGTGACCAGCACTAGCCTAGCAACATTAAAACATACTATTTGTAAAACTCAAAATAAGCTTTTTACATTTTGCTGATTTATTGAGCTTCAAACTGTATTCAAATTTATTTTGTCTCTGGTTGCTGGTTTCTATTATTTTTACAAAACAGAAGGTAAAACCTGATAGAAATGCCAATTTTGGGATAATTTTTGGGAGTACATCTGACAGGAGTGAAAAAGGCGCTATCTTTTTTCAAATAATAGATTAACACTCATTTCAATCTGAAATACAACAGAAATCATTTTCTTAAATGTGAAAGAAATTGAATTGGTATCATTATTTGTATCACTTAATTTTTATCACTCATCTTGAAGTTTGGGGTTTTGAAAGTTGGCATTTTCTTATCAATTTAACATGCACGATTCATAAGTGGGTATCATATATTTTATATTGATAAAGGCATCCTCACCACCATGACGTTCTAAAATCTCCAAAGTTTGTTGGACAAGATCACCAATGTTCTCATCTCTCTGTTGAGCATAATCAATTCCATCGCCTGTATTAACTGAAAAGAAGAAAACTATTGGTTATCTTTACTAGAAGTCAGAGCGGCTGTCAGGTACATGTTTTCAATTTGGTGTACCATTCATCGGCTTCAGCAAATTGAACATGGGTAGAATTTGGCGGTAGTATGGTACTAAGGCTTCTCCCACCATTTCACATGACTTCACCATTTTCTGTATTATCTGCATCGTACAGCACACAACATCAGGTATTCTAGTATTCAAAGCATCTGTAAATTCGTCATGAGAAGGTAATGAATGGTATTGATTTTCTATCTTCATTTTACAAAAAAAATATATACTCACTTTTGATTGGAATTATTAACTGGGGCACCACTGGCAGCACCTTGTGTGGGGCATTTTTGATCATATCATGAATGCCCCGACGAGCGAAAAATTTGTACGGATGCTCCGTTTCGCACAAACCATCGAAAAACATCGGGAGGAAATGGTGGTAGTCTAGATCCTGCACTTGCCTCTGGAAGTTGACGGGGTGGGGGAATTAGAGCAGTGGGGTGGGTGGGCGATGTTGGCGCTCCAGCTAGAAGGGTCTGGATTGTCGTAAGAGCACATCGATGGGAAAAGTTTTATTACCGCGGCACTCATGCGGACCAAATATAAACTTATGACAAATACGGATTATTTCAACCGCTAGTCAGACCAGACCATCTTTTGGACAGCCCTGGCACGAAGCGTAAGGTGAAATGACAACTAAGGATTTTAACTTTCGGGAAAGTAATTTTTTGGGAAATTTTGCAAGAATTTTCCTCTCTTCTTAGAAATTTTAGAAAATTTCCCAATTTTTCTAGAAAAGTACCCAGTTAGTCCGGAAACATTTCGCACTTTAAAATCGCTTATGACAACACTAGTCGAATTTACAGTAAAGCCTGCTCGTGACAGTCCAGACCCTGCTGCCGCACGCTCGCGCACCTTCCACGCGATGGACTTGGAGGACGCGTCGAACTGCAGCGCGATGGGGAAGTCGCCGCGCTCGTAGTACTTGCGGAAGAGCGTGGGCTTGACCAGGGGCCGCGGGCGCACGCAGTGCACGCGCGGCGGCGGCGGCAGGCGCACGTTGGGCTGCAGGGCCTGCGTGGAGAAGGCGGGCACCACGCGCGGAAGGTGCAGCTGCTCGTACAGCCAGTGCGTCGAGGACGTCGGCATCCTGGCGAACACGCGCGCTGTTGTGCGGGCGGGGGGCGGCTGCGACCCTCTCCTGACCTGGCCGGGGTCGGCTCGGGGGGCGGCGCGGGGCCCAGGCCTACTGCAGCGGGGGCGGCGCCTGGGGGGAGGGGGCCAGGGGGCGCATCTGCATGGGGTGGGGCCCGGGGGGGCTGGTCCGGGGGTATCGACGAAACAGGCGCCTAGCAACGCCAACAGAGTGGACTTCCCTCCCGACCTGCTCGGCGCGGGGGCGGGCGGCGTGGCCGCGTGCTGGGGGCGGGGGCGGTACGGGGGCGGCAGCAGAGCGAGAGCGTGCCGCTCAACATGTGGCTTGACCGTGGCGGTGCGTGCGTGACGTGGGGCCGTGTCAGTCGGAGCGGAACTGGGTCAGCGCCGTCACCCGCTCGAAGGATATCCCGCCCACACACACACACACACACGCACACGCACACGCACACAAACCTGCACGAGTTCCTGATTGTCAGTCTGCCGGAGGGCTCGGGTTGCAGGGCGTGGCGAGGCGGAGAGTGGCTGTGGGGTTTAATTAAACGCCCTAAGAAACACCCCGGTAATTCCACCCCCCCCCCCACAGCGCGCAGCGATCTAAAAAGTTCACCAACAAAAAACAGAGATTGTTCCGAAAGTGCGTCGGTTTTCCTCAGATTCCTTCATTGGCACCTCGGCCTCGGCGCCTGCGAGACTGAGGATAGGCCATCCCGCAGTACACGCATGCGGTGCGCGCGAGATGTTGCCTACCTACCAGGCGCTCTGAGAGCTTGCATTGGCTGAACCAACTTGTCCGTTTAGAAATGGCGAATGACGGAAGTACTTTTCGCGTGTGGGGTGTGGAGTATTTGGCGTGTGATTTCCCGATTCCACGTAACTAAAATTGGCCAGAATATTGTGTATGCACGCTGCACGCCACCTGTCCCCCCCAACCAGGGGGGGACTTACTCACGAAGCCGCGAGACGGCGCTGCTGTGTGCACGACAGGCTGTGGAAAGGGCAGGGCTGCTCGGCGGAAGAAGTAGAGCCAGCTGTGCGCGGGGGGTGGGGGTGGGGTGGACGACGCATGCGGTACTGTACCTGGGGGTAGCCCGGCCAGCCCTGGAGAGTGCCCCCCCCCCCATATAATTAGACTCCCCCCCTCTCCCCCCGGTACTCTGATCCACTACCGGGGCCCTATAACAAAATTCGCCCCCCCTCCACGAAGCTCCCTTCCCCTATCCGCTCCGGCCGTAAAGGACTCAGCGGCGGGCCAGACTCGGAGAGAAGAGCGTCCCCGATTCATCCTGAATATGATAATGGCGATACTCGCCGTGATCACAGGGCGGGGGAGCGGGCAAATCGAATCTGCCATCATCATGGCTCCTTCGGGGGAGGCCCGTCGTCCCGAGGACCTGCGCCGAGGCAAAACCGAACCCTGTCAAAAACACCCGACGCGCGGCGGAGTAGGGCGTTCGGATGGGAGCGGCTGAGCGGGCTTGGACGACACCGATCTCCGACTGTAATCGCCGCGGTTCTCCTAGTCACTCGGAACATCGTCGTCTCGCTCGCACCGATAGAGGAGTTCGCAAGTGGCCCCGCCTGCCCCTGCCTGCTCCTCGCCCTCGCTCCACTACGCTACGCCACAACACGCCACGCTCGACCGCCCTCCAAAGGGTCCCTGCTAGCCCTGCTACCAACTCGGCTAACTCGATTCAAACAACGCGCTAGCGGGCGGAGACCAGGACCCAGTGCAGGCCGGCGCGGGCCGGTGTGGTGTGGTGGCGCTTGGCAGGGCAGGTCGGACGCGGAACGGAACGGGGCCGTTTGCGCGCGGCGTCGTCGCCCGCCCGTTCGGCGCGTTTACAGTTTACAGGCGGCTCACGGCCGAAACGGCGGGGCGCGAGAGGTGTCGCCCTAAATGAACAGCGGCGGTGGTGCTGCCGCGGCGGCGGCTTCGGGCGGAGCACCCGCTCCGCAGGACCCCGTAAAAAGACAACAGCTGGAGCGGAGCGTGCTATGGGGAACGATACACGGGCCACTGTCACTCACACTGGTGATAACCTTTCCAGGAAGGGAGCCCCACGGAGCCCTTTTTCCACGCTCGCTGTGGAATAACTCTAACTCTCCCCCTCCCCCACTCCTTCCCGTCACATCGTCTTCCCTAGCGGAAGTGGGGCGCGAGCATCCGGAAAGGGAAGGAGAGCACGGCGACGGGGAGCATCAGTGATGCAGGGGCTAGTCAGTCGTGTCGGGGCAGGGCGGGGCAGGGCGGGGCTGTGCGGGGCGAGGCGCCATGGCAGCCCGCACCGCAGCGTTTGGATCGGCATCCCCGCTTCTTCCGCCTCGTACTCGGGCCCAGCAGCAGAGAGAGAGAGAGTCACCACCCT